TTTTTTGCAGTGCTGGGGTTTGAACTCAAGGCCTTCACCTTGAACCACTCCACCAGTCCTATTTTTGTGATGGGTTTTATCGAGATAGGGTTTCACAAAGTATTTGCCCAGGTTGTCTTCAAACTGCGATCCGATCCTCCTGATCTCTGCCTCCTGAGTAGCTAGGATTACAGGTGTGAGCCACTGGTGTCTGGTTTCCAGGCTGGTCTCTTAACTCCCACTGTAGCCCAGGCTGGCCTTGAACTTGCTCCTGTGTCAGCCTCTCAAGTGCTAGGATTATAGGCAAGCACCATCACATCCCCCAAAGGCCAGTGATTTCACCATGAATACAATGAAGCCTCAGTAAACTCCCTAAAATGAGGGTTTGGGGAGCTTCCATTGTACCATGGTTGTTCTGGGAGTGTGGCACTGTGGAGAGGGCATGGGAGCTCCTAGCTAACTACTGGTCCCTTCCTTACCTTATGCTTCTGTTTAGGCTCCTGGGTTGTGTCCTTTATAATAAACTGGTAGGGCTGAGATATGGCTCAGTCAACTTCTTGACGAGGAAGTAAATGACTCAAGCTGACCACCCAGGAGGCAAGCTGGAGCTCTGGGAGGAAAGGTTAAAACTGAGGCCTGTGAAGGGAGAAGAGGGAAAGGAAAACACAGAGAAGGCAGGGAGGACTCCAACCCTAGGGAGCTGCTATGTGGGTGGTCACAGAAAGGCCTAGCTTGGGAAGAAAGGGCTACACTCCTGAGGGCCCTTCAAAATACCATTCAAGTGCCCTGTTCTCCACCTTCCGCTCCCCAGTTCTGAAAACAGTATTTAAATAAGAATAACAGCCTAGGATAGGTGGTAGAATACAAAAATGTATACTTTCTGAATTCCTACCACCCTGGGAATTTCCAGAGTGAAAGGAGTCCTTTGTTATTCATTGGGAGCCCTTTTCAAGCTTACCTGAGTTTAGGCTAATGACATGACCTTTACAGGGTCCCCAGAGAACTTCAGGATGGGAGCTCATCACTAGAGGAACTAACCATGTGATTAGAAGGTTGGAATTTTCAACCCTGCCCTCCATCCCAGCTCCAACTCCAACTGCAACCCCAACTCTGATCCCAGGGAAGGGAGAGATACTAGAGATGGAATTCCAGTTACAAAAGCCAGTGAGCTGTTGTGGTAGGGTGCTTGTCCAGCATGAGTGAGGCCCTGGCTTTGATCCCAGACACTACATATATATAAATTGCTCCTGGGTGGTCAGCTTGAGTCCCTCACTTCCTCCTGAACAAGTTGACTAGTAGTAGACTAGGGGACAGTCAGGTTTTCAGCAGCATGTGCTGCTTCCCCATTAGTGCTTAAAAAAATTTAAACCTTGGGGTTGGGAGTATAGGTCAGTGGAAGAGTTCATGCTTAGCATGTATGAGGCCCAGGGCTCAGTCCCTAGGACCAAAAATAATAAATAAATGAATGACTAAATAAATAAATAAATAAAAGCCCAGACCCCTTATTCAGCACCCCCCCAACTTCCCTTCTAGCTTCTTCTTTCCTAGCACTTCTGTTGTCCAGCCATAGATAGACTGGCCCTTGGGTTGTTGTCCTCCAAATATCCCAGGGGCTTTTGCCCTCTGCTGAAGATCAGCTGCTCTGCACACTTGTCCTTTAGTCACCAGCATTGAGTATTACTTAGTTAGACACTAAGGGGCTAAGGAGGGAGGGTGACCTGCCTCTACTGAAGGCCCTGACGCTCATCCTCCTGTTTTACTAGATAGATAGATAGATAGATAGATAGATAGATAGATAGATAGATAGATAGATATAGGCATATAGATATATAGATATATCTGTATCTATAGATACACAGATTTTTTTTTTTTTTTTTGTGGTACTGGGGTTTGAACTTGGCCTACACCTTGAGCCATTCCACCAGCCCATTTTAGTGATTTTTTTTTTTTTTCCAAGATAGGATCCGACAAACTATTTGCTGGGGTTGGCTTTGAACCTTGATCCTACTGATTTTTTTCCTTCTGCGTAATTAGGATTACAGCATGAGCCATTGGTACATGGCCTGTTTAACCATATTCAGGCAGGTTCCAGATTTCCCAACTGGCTGGTCTCCAGGGCCCCTGCCCTCCTCCCAACCTCTCAACCACTTGACACTGGCACTACTTCCTTGTTTTGACATCCTTGCAGTCTCTGAATCTCAGACCTATTTCCTCCTCTGTTCAATACATGGGCACTGAGTGTGCCTGGGGTGATGACACATGGTTGAGCAGGACAACAGGGTCTCTGTCTTGTATGGCTTACTCTCTGGTGTGTCTGATGGATGAGAAAGAATGCACCCAGGAAACACACGAAGGCAAATGTTATGAAGGAAACAAACTGGTGCTGTGATGGGGAGTGGGGATGCTAGTTAGATGGGGTGTCAGAGGAGCCTCCTCCCTTCCCAGGAGGACTGGCAAGGTGAGACACCCTGTCATACAGGGTGATTCCTTTCATTAACAAATGAGAGGCAAATGTACACTTGTTGGTAAATTTAAACTTATCCTTTGCATTTATGTGAACTTTTTTTTTCAAGAAGTTACAGACTTTCTGTATAAATCAAGCTGGGTGGTGGTGGGGGGGTATCACCCAATTGGAAAGAGAGACTTGCAGCTGGGTCCCAGAGCACTTTATCCAAGATAGAGGAGACTCAATCATCCAGCCCAGAGGGAAGATGCCCCTCCCAGCCACCCTTGGCCTCCTCCTGGCTCTACTTTCATGGCATCCCTCTGCACTGTTCCATCCTGGTTTGTGTTCCATGAGGAACACAAAAAATCATCCTATAGAGATGGGAAAGTCACTATTGATGCACTATGAAGTTTGTGTGTTTTGGGACTCCCAAGGTTTGACCTGGGATACTGCCATTGGAAGGACGGGAGCTTGACATACATTGCTCATTTCACTCTCACCCTCAGGAGCACCTGCAAGAGAGTGTGAGGGGGTATCTTGTTGGACAGGGAAGGACACTGAGGCTTAGCGAGGTTACCTAATTGACCTAAGGTCAATCTGCTAGAGTGAGGTAGAATCAGGTCCAACTTCAGGAAGGTCAAGCTCCAGAGTACCTAGTGTGCTATTGACTTGTGACTACTTGGAATCCTTTGAATGATTCTGGATGGCTGCCCATATGAAGGATGCAACAAGAATCTCTGGAAGGATGCTGTGAGACAGAGCAAGTAAAGATAACTCTGGAAGTGGTGACTTGGCAGAAGTTATATGGTTATCATAGTGCAGAGGCTTAGCTTTTCCCAAATTCCAGTGCCTTACCCCTTTGTAAACTGGGATTAGTATACCATAGGGCTGTTATGAGGATTAAGTGAGTGAATGAATCCATTGAAATAATAAAGTGCTGGTAAGCATTCAGGAAAGGGAAGCTATTATTATCTTATTTTCTCCCTTTATTCATTTATTTGCACCCATGCCTGTAGGTAGTTAGCAAAAATGAATAAACTGTACAGGTATGTATCCAAAAGAAATGAAATCGGTATGTCAAAGAAATATCTGCACTTGCAGATTTATTACAGCACTATTCACAATAGGCAAGATATGGAATCAACTTCAGTGTTCACTGACAGATGAATGAAGTAAATGTGGCCTATATACACAGTGGAGTATCATTCAGTACTGAAAAAGAGAAAAGTCCTATAATTTGCACAATTTGAATGGAATGATGTTAAGTGCAATAAGTCAGGCACAGAAGGACAAACATCTCATGTTTTCAGTTATATGTAGAAATTAAAAAAGTTGATCTCAAAGTAGGATATTTGTTACCACAGCCTGGGAAAGCTATGAAGGAGGAGGAGATGGACAGAGGATGGCTGACAGGTAGAGGGGTGCAGTTGGACAGGAGAAATAACTTCCAATGTTCTATACCCCAATAAGATAACTCTGGCTGGTAACAATTAACTGAATATATTTAAAAATAACTAGCAGAGAAATGATACATGTCTAAGGTGATGAAAGTGCCAATTACCTTGATCTGATCATTACATATTGTACATATTTTGAAATGTCACTGTCCAATACTAGTAATTGTACTACTTTAAAAAAACCAATTATTATTATTTTGCAGTACCGGGGCTTGAACTCAGGGCCTACACCTTGAGACATTCCACCAACCCTTTTTTTTGTGATGGGTCTTGAGAACTAGTTGCCTGGGCTGGCTTTGAACTGTGATCCTTCTGATCTCTGTCTCCTGAGTAGCTAGGATTACAGGCGTGAGGCACCACACCCGGCCTGTAGTACAATTATTATATGCCAATAAAATACATTAAAGAAAAAAAGCCCTGAGTGAACTGGGAGAGCTAGAAGGGCCTGGTCTAAAGGACCAGGAGACTGATATTAAGTCTCACTGATACTAAGCATGCGCCCAGTGCTGTGGGATTTGCAGAATCTAAGGGAAGGTTCTAGAACAGCTCTTGAAAAGTTAAAGACCTTTAACATTTTCTCCTCCCCTCCCTAAAACACTACACAGCTTTTAGTTTTAGGGATCTTGAGTTGTGAGGCCATCCCCAGCATCTCTTCCTTCTCTACCTACCAGGTACCCTGCGCCCACCTTACCATTCCCCAGTCCCGAGTTCCGCACGTGTTCCCTCCACCCCAACCCTCAAGTCGAGGATGGGCCTGCAAAACTCAAATGCAGCACAGGCAAGCTGCCAGTCGCAGGAGTGACTCTGCAAAGGTGGAATTTGGGGCGTCTGAAGCGCGCCGGAGGCGGAGCGGGGTCACCTGCGGACCGTCTCACCAGCAGGTGGCGCGCTCGTCTCCAAGGCCTGCCGGGTTCCCGTGCAGAAACTTGAACAGGATGTTGGTGCCACTGCACTAAAGGAGCACAGCTCGGTCTCCTTGATCCGAGCTGCGGGGCTTCGGCGGAAAAGTGGGAAGAGAAGGGAGCGGACTCCCTGCTCGAGTCACTCGAGGATTCAGACATCGCGAGCTTCCTTCGGGAAGGCTTCGGGAGCGGGTGAGTGGGGCAGCGCCCGGGAAAGGGAGCTCGGTCCTTTTCTTGTTTGGCATTGACTGCCTTTTCCCTTCCGGGAAAGACATTTCTGGCAGGGAGCTGCCCGAACTGAAGGAGCGCGCGCGGGAAACAAGCTCGGGAAGCCGGAGCCTTGACTCCAGTGCTCTGCAGCGGGAGGAGCGCGGATTCCTTCCCGCCAGATGGCGCTGTCTGGCTTTCTCCCGGGCTCGGGCTCCAGTCCCTGGAGGTCCCCCGCCGCAGCAGCCCCTCTAGCCGGCCGGCGCGGACTCTGTGGTTCCGGGCGGAAGTGAGGCGCAGAGCGGAACGGCCTCTGGTGACATTTTCTTGGGGCGGCGCGGACGACTGAAGGGAATTGGTGTCAGAGGCTGTGAAGGCTGCGGAGGCGTCGAGGTTCAGTTTGGCCCCGGCGCGGGCACTGACCGCGACCCCTCTGTTCGTTGCTAGGGCTTGTGCTGAGCAGGAGAAGGCGGCGGTGGCCGTCGCGTCCCAAGTCACCGCGGCCAGGAGAGTGCCGGCCGGGGTCGGTGCGTGTGCCCCGACGGGGCGCGCGGTGCGGGCGCTAGATACGGAGCGGCCCCGGCGCTCAGGTGAGGCGGGAAGGGGCGCGGGGCCGCGGCCTGGCTGCTGGTCGAGCCGCGGGGCCCGGGCCGCGTTCCAGGGAGGGGTGCGGGCCGCGGGTGAGGGCTCTGCGGCGTCCGGGCGCGGGGGTCACGACGGGCCCAGCTGGGGGTAGCTGGAGGTTTGTTCCCCGACTTGGCGGGAGACGCGGCCCGCGAGGGGGAGGAGCAGCCGGGACCCCCTCGCTTGCCCGCCGCTGGCGACCCTCTTGTCCTCCGGCCCCGCCGAGTTGCCCTCCGCCGGCGCTGAGCGCAGGCTGGAGGGGCCACAGCCCCAGGCCGCGCGTGTAGTGGCTTCGCGTAACTTTCCGGCTCCCGGCCGGGGAGGACGCCGAGGCGGCGGCTCCGCCGACTCGGTGGCCCGGGTCTGGCGCCGACACCTGCCCCTGCCGCCGAGACCCGCGGCCTCCTCAGCGCCGCGGCGGCCGTCGCCTTGGAGTTGCGAGAAAGGGCTTTTTCAGGCTTGGCCCTTCCGTGCCCGCCGGTCCGCGGACGCCTGGGATCAATGGGTCTCCAAAACTGACCTCTTCCAGGGAGTTCGTCGACTTTCCTTAAAAGCGGACGAGGATGTAAACTGACGTTCCCCAGGTTAAAGACTGTTGTTTTTGATCCAGACTTAGCTTCTTTTTCTTAGTGTCGTTTCTTTCTGTATTTCTTATGGCACTGATCTCTTGAGTGTTGTGCTATTCATGCGGCAGCTCCAGTCCTAACCGTACGTCTCTCACTATGCCCCCTTCGTTCCCCTTCCTCTCCCCCGGGCCTCGTTGTTTGGCCAGGGCAGTCCTGGAATTCTCTGTATAGCCCAGGGTGGCCTGAAAGTCGCGATCCTCCTGCCTCAGCCTCCCGCGTGCTGGCATTACAGTTATTCTTCCTTTTAAAATGCCCTGGTCCCATCACAGAGAGATTCGCAGGTTGAAGGAAAGAAAGTCTCTGTACCGGCCTTCCTAGATGTTTCACCGCTTGAGCAGTTTATGCTTAGATGTGCTTTTCGTTTTTGCCTGAGCTTTTACTTTCTCAGTTTTTCTACCCAGTTGCATGAAAATTCCACTGATGATGCTGTATCAAGGTTAGACCTCTTAATTACAGATGCATGTGGCAGTTTTGCTTATGCCATTATTGTGTAGTATGGTTGGGCACAGGCTAACACTTTGAATCGCTCCCATTCTTCTCTTGGGATATTTTAAGGATTGAGGCTATTAACATTCTAATGTAGTTTTGCTGATCCTGGCAATCTGGATTTCTCCAGTAATCAGAGCACTATCTTTTGGTTTAACAAGCATTTTAAAGACCTGCAATTGATATTATCTGATGTCCAAACAAATCACAACAAAAATCGCTTTTTTAAAGTAAGTATACTATTTTGGCTGAGTAATATGCCCATTACCCTGCTTTTTTTTAAGGTAGGAAGTACAATATTTTGCCCAAGTAGTATACCCAATACTATGTCTAGCACAGTGCTTTGTGCACTGTGAGTAGTCAGTAAATACACAATTATGAATTAAATTTGAGTTCAGAAAGCCAGCTGGAGAGTGACTGCAGTAATTTGTGTACTGCTTTGAAAAGAACTGGAGTGAAATTTTATGCAGTTCCATTACATGAGAAATAAAAATATTTTTAAGCTTCCAAATCAAGTTCCTTTAGAATGCTTTTCAATACTGTTTTTTTTTTTTTCTTTTTGGTGTTACTGTGTGAACTCGAGCTCACACTTGCTAGACAGGTGCTCTACCACTTGAGCCCCTCTGCTAGTCTTCAGTACCATATTTTTAAAATTTCAAACCACGTGTTTTTCATATCAACATGCTATAGGTGTATACATCTGTTTATCTCAAGTCTGAAAGGCAAAGAAAAACCTCTAGGTATTTGTACGGAAAGGATCAAATAAATCAGATTTCTTTTTTATTTTTTAATGGCCATATGGGTGTTTGAATTCAGGGCCTTGTGATTGCTAGGCAAACACTCTACCACTTGAACCACACCTTCAGCTCTAAATCAGATTTTTTGGCAGTGTAGGATTCGAACTCAGGGCCCCATGCTTGGTAGGCAGGTGTTGAACCTACTTGAGCCACTATGCCAGCCCCTAAATCAGACTTTCTAATGGAATTTTTTTCCTTAGCTTTTTGTGAAAAATAGGATGGATTGAATTTTGGAGCTGGAAACTTTCCAAATTGTTAGCTTCATACTAGGTTCACAGGGTAGTTCCGTTCCTCACTACTTCAGTTTATATTACTCCTACATGCATTCATGTGAGAGTAACTGTCATGTTACTGTTTATTTTATCGTATTCATGATTAATTCAAGACATATATATTAAATATAAATTCAGCTTTCAGTTCTAATTTAGTGCAATTCTGCTACTGCCTGCTCAATGTATGTCTCTCACAGGGTGGTTGTTTTTTTTTTTTCTAACACTGGGATTTGAACTCAGGGCCACACAACTTGCTAGCAGGTGCTCTTACCACTTGAGCCACTCTGCCAGCCTTCAAAGGTGTTTTGCTTTTAATGTTTATCTGACTTGGTACTTTAAATCTCTTTACTGTATGACTAGTGACTTCTGTGAGCTTGTATAGTTACTCATTATTCAAGTTGTTTTTCTGTGATCTCCAGTCTTATGGTTTTGTTCTGACATGTGCATAAGTAAGATTTGATGCATAGACAATTTGAGTATTTTTTTCCACCTTGTTTGGAACTGGTATGTACTAGATACCCAAACCTTAATTTGGTAACTTTGATAAATTATCTTAGGCCTTTCTCATTTCCTTCATGTAACTAGGAAAATGAAAATAGTATATAAGGTATATAGTACTGACTTCTTGACAACACCTGTAAAGGTTAAAAATGTATTGTTAATGTGTGTTCTCTTAAGTATACTGGTTTCAGTATAAGAAAGAGTTTGGGGCCAAAAAAGTTTCTTGCTTAGCTATAATTAGGTAGGCAAGATGAAATAGATATATGAATAAAAAGCTGAGCCTATAGAAGAGATAAAAGCTATTGAGAAAGCACAGAAGACAAAATATTCATGTGGAACCTCTTTATTCTCACTGCCCTAATTTGTCGATTGTCAGCTGTGTGCCAGCAGTACTGGAGTTGCAGGAGCTGTGGTGGATAATAAGATCTACAAGGCCCAGGTGCTCAAGGAACTTCAGCATTGGAACCTGAGTTTTGAGGTGAATTTCTAGATAAGCCTCCCCACTAGGAAACAGCCTAAGGAAGTCATCAATGTCAAGCTCTTGAATGGTCTGTGGGCCAGTGCCTTGAGTTTTTCTTTCCCAAGTAGGGCCAAATTTTGAAGGTATGTCACTCTGCTAATGGCTGTGGATTTTCTTTTATTTATTTATTTTGGTGGGGGCTGGAGTTTGAACTCTGGGGTTTGACTCAGGCAGGTACTCTACTGCCTGAGTCACACCTCCAATCCATTTTGCTCTATTTTGGAGATGGGGGGTTGAGAACTATTTGCCTAGGCTGGCTTCAAACTTCTATCCTCCTGATCTCAGCCTTCCAAGTAGATGGGATTACTGGCATGAGCCACTGGCATCTGGAGAGATGAGAATTCTTTAAAAAGATTTTTCTTTACTAATCCTAAAAATTGAATAAGTAGAAATGGTATTGTCCTTGTTTATTTACTTATTTTTCAGTGACAGGGATAGAATACAGGACTTTGCGAATTAGCTAGGTAAGCACTTTAACCACTGAGATACACCTCAGCACTGTTTTATTTTAACTTGATATTTTATCACCAGGTTAAAGAAATTTCATAGTTATTTTTCTTTAGTTCTCTTGAATTTGAATTTGACTGAAATGCTTTTTTTTTTTTTTTTTTTTGTGGTACTGGGGTTTGAACTCAGAGCAGGTAGGCAGGTGCTCTTACCACTTGAACTACTATGCCAGCCCCTTTTTTTGTAATGGGTTTTTGAGATAGGGACTCTAACTATTTGCCTGGGCTGGTTTGAGCTGCTATTCTCCTGATCTCTGTCTCCTGATTACAGGCATGAGCCACCAGCCTCTGGCTCTTTTGGTTTTTGGGGCTGGATCTTGATTCATAGGCTATGCTGGCCTGGAACTCACTAGGTAGCCCTGGCTGGCCTCAAGTTCACCATCCGTGTGACACCCCACCTGTTTTTCTAAATCCTCTTAGCCTTTATTTTTAATTGTACCTGCTTTCCTTATTTTTTCAGAAATCTTTTTTTTTGATGATGATGGTGGTGGTGGTACTGGGGCTTTGAACTCATGGCCTATACTCCCCTAGCCCTTTTTGTGTGTGGGTGTGGGTGTGGGTGTGGGTGATGGATGATGGGTGATGGGTGTTTTCAAAATAGGGTCTTGAAAATTATTTGCCCAGGCTGGCAGACTGGCTTGGAACCACGATCCTCCTCATCTCAGTGTGAGCCACTGGCACCAGGCCAGAACGCTTACTATTGAACTTAAGAGAAAGAAGCAGTGCTTCTTGTGTGGGCAGCTTCTCTCAGAAGAATGGGATTGATGTTCAGGCAGTTTTCACACTCAGCCTACAGAGTCCTGTGGTAAAAGGAAGGAGCAGGGAGACGCTAAAAGGTATCTTGCTTGTTTTTATTCTCTTCTATATTCCTGTCTGACTTGTCAGGAGTGGAAATGTATGTTACATGTATCATACAGATGTGCTGGAACATACTAGTAGTGGCTGGGAATACTAAACATGGTTTAAAAATACTGTAAAATAGCCAAGTGACTCAATAAAATAGCATTAGTCAGATGTGATTGTGGTCTTACGCAGGATTTGTGGCTTTAATTTACAAATTTAAGTTTTGTTTGTATTCTCTTTTATGTCTTTATTCAAAGTAAGGAACCTCATTCTATTAAGTGAGGAGTGGGGAGTGGGGATTTAGCTCAGTGGAAGAGTGCTTGCCTTGAATTCAGTCCCCAGCACTGGGGGGAAAAAAAACCCCACAAGGGAAATAGTCAATACATAGATGGTATAAATCCCTAAGGTACTAACT